CCATTCTGATGCAACTCCATCCTGATAAAGCTGACTATACGCTTTATCAATCCTTATAAATTGACAAAGCTTATGGTTAGGGAGGCTCAGGTTATCCTGACCTATCTCTAAAGTTAAGCTACTATATGCTTAGACTTCTGGAGGACATAGTGACCCATATTGCATCATTCTGCTTCATTCTATTTCTATTCTCCCACTCTGCAGAATCTGTTAGTTCAATCTCTAAAGTTATGCTCTCTCTGCTTTTTCTCATAGTAGATTTGCATCGTCTGTTCCTGTTTGGCGGTGACATCTTCCTGGAGAGAAATATGAGCTGTGCTGCTGCCATCAATACCTTTGCTTATAGATGTACGCGATCGGCTTGTTTTTCATTGTAGTCCTGTTTCTCTGACTGTGACTGGCTGGATGTGCTCTCTTCATCCTCTGACATGGGAGCTGGCTCACATTGAGCCTGGTTCTGCTGGAGGTTTCTTCCTGTTAAAAGGGAGTTTTTTTTCTTTCCACTGTCACTACAAGCATGCTTAGTGTGAGGGATTGCCTTAGAGTCAATGAGTCGATGCAATCAGCTGGTTTTCCTTAGATAGAAAACTTTGAATCAATTTGACTGAATGATCTGGTGAACTGTAAAGTGCCTTAAGAGGACATGGGTTGTGAATTGGCGCTATATAAATAAACTGAATCTAATGGAATCCTTTAGGTTTTTTGAGAAGAATATGTTTTCTGTTGCTTCGGTCAGAGATATGTTTTAAAACTAATCTTAAACTACTAAGTGTGATATAAAGAAATCACAGATTAAAGCCAAAACCTTTTATCCATTTTATTGTTATTTTAAGTAGATTGACACAGAATGATGCAGATTTTTAAAGTTTGACTCTAAAATCGCTGAACAAAATCCATAGCCTTCGATATCAGCTTATGAGTAAAAGGACCCACCAGTGTTTAATTTAAAAGTTTAAGTCCAGCTTCATGAAGACCAGGAACCAAGCAGACTAGTCAGGGAGGAAGTTGCTGTTCAATCCATCCTCTGAACATGGAAGGAGGCCGTTACCTTCTAAAAGAATTGCTGTTTGTCTGATATACAGTTTGCACAAGAAAACAACAAAAATTTATCAAAAGTCTTTACAGTCAGTAAATAAATGAGAACAAACAAATCAGCACAAAAAGATTTTTTTAAAAGTGAAAATAAATTATGAACTATTGACTATATAAAAATCTCAAACTCTGCTGGATTTGAGTGCTAAGTAATAAATGTGTGTCTTGATTTTCAACAGTCCAAATAGGAAAAATTTACCTGCTCTAAAGGTTTGAGGCAGAAACTGTAAAGACCCGATCACCTCTGGATTTTAGCTTGAATCTAGGAGCAGCTTTAAGAAACAGCTCGGTTGACCATGTTCTGTTATGGGCATGATGGGCCAGACCTTTTAAACGTTTCATAGCAAGCTGCTGAATCTTAAAACAAACAGCAACCCAATGGAAAGACGGAACAACTGGAGATACAGAAGGTGTTTTATTTTTTTCATTCTGGATGGTTTGAGATGATTCATCTGAACCAGGGGTCACCAACATTTTAAGGCTGAGAGCTAATTCATGGGTTCCGAGTCTTGGAGGTTGTGTTCGACTTCATCGGCTGCATCATCCAGTGACTCGGTCTACCTGGACTGGATCCTTCAAGGTCCGTGAAATAAGAAAGGAAGATTTTTGGCTATGGATAAAAACAGGTCCAACTTTCTCCACCTTTCACCGCACATACAATCTGTCGCATAGCAACCGTGATAGTTGAGACAAAAAGCAGGAAAAGGATAAATGACCCAAACTTCTCACTGCTGTTTTGGGTTCTAATATTTTCGAGGAGCTTCAACAGCAGCACCTTATCGGTTTTATAGTCCAAGCACTGCAGGTTTATTAGAATCTGTGCTTAATTTACATCCAAACCCGTTTACACAGTAACAGATAGAAAACCTTTAGATAAATCAAATATTACCCAATGCATTCCTGACTCAATAGCCATTTAAAACAACCTTTTTCATTAATTTCAGACAGAACTATTCACATAGCTGTATTATATTAAACTACACTTACATTATAAGTACCTTTTTCCTCTGAGGACGGGCAGTCTACTTGCTTGGACTCGCAATGAATTATGGGATATTCAAGGCTATTTGGATACACCGGACCCATCCTTAAAAACAGGCAAAAAAAGAAGGATGCAAATGTTGGCCGCATAACAAAGAGTCTTACAATCCGGACAGACCTCGGTGCCGTTATCGGCCTACGAATCCAGCCTTTAGAGGACGCAGCTGCTGAGTTCAAACTCGGCAATAGGAAGGGTTACCAATACAGACCTATGAACTGGAGGGTGCACCTAAAGCTCATACATATTTTTATTTTTTTTATTTCCAATTTTCTTTTAGATATTTGTATTTCGAGAGATTTCAAATAAAATTATTAAATTTTATATATGACTTATATAATTAAATGCTAAATTATTAAAAAAAAGAGTAGCAACAAAATTTTAAAAAAAAAAGTATCAAACTTAGCCCCATTGGTGATTCTTTTTGTTTTCAGAAGAGGCTGAGGGCATCCAATGAGGTCCTTGAGGGCCCCTTAGTGTCCGCGGGCACCGCTTCTGTGACCCCTGATCTAAACCAACATGAAAAGTGTTATAATTTCACTGCGAGGAAATAAAAGTACAATTTATTTTTAGTTCTAAACAATAAGTCCTGGGTCAGACTTCCGCGAGGTCAAGGGGTATGAATATTTCTGCAATGTATATATTTTTTTGTAAAACTGTTTTTAGCAATAAAAACATGTTTTGCTGAGATTGAGCCCAAAATCTTTACGTCTTTGGAAAAGCTCTTCAGACGGCTTACATCCAGGCTCCTGGAACAGACTGAGGAACAATCTAGATTTAGTATTCATTCCATCAGCACTCTGCCGTAATGACTGTAGAATAGAAGAAACAAATACTTTTTCCTCTCGTTAAACTTTTATTCAGTTCCAGATTTTGTGTCTACATATCATTCCTGAAACATTCAGCTGAAAAACAACCAGTAACTCTCATGGCGACAGAATCTCATTACGTCTTCATCAGCTGGGCTGCCAGAGCAGCGCTGTTGGTTGTGTGAATGGATACATCGACAGAGTGGCTTTAAAGCCATAAATCCACCACCAGCTGACAGGAACTGGAACAAAACGTCCTTATTTTCCATCCGTCACTTCTTCCTAAAGCTGCTGTTGCATCACCGAGGTTAAAATGTGAGGAAAACATCATTAAAGATTCAAAATAGATCAGCTTCATAACTTCATATGATTAAAGCGTTCATGTTTGCAAAATACATTTAAAAAGATGCAATAAATGTCCAAACAATTAGTCCTCCTCCAGTTTCCTTTTCTTGCTCTTTTTCTTCTTCTTCCCTGAGCTCTCTGCTGTGTCGCCATATAAAATGTCCAGCGGTTCACATTTCACAGAAACTGGTTCCACCTTGACTCTGACACTGTGCTCCAGTCCTTCCTCCATCTCCTCTCGCTCCCTGTCCTCCTCCTTCTTCTTTTTCTTCTTCTTCTTCGTCGTCGTCTTCTCAGCCTGCTGAACGTCGTCCTGGAAGGGGACCTCGGTCATACGTTCATCCGGGATTTCATCGAAAGGTTCCCGCTTCACTTTCAGCAGAAGCTCCACCTGTTCCGACTTTATCCGCTTCTCTTTGTTTTTCTTCTTCTTCTTCTTTTTCCTGCCTTCCTCCTCATTGTCATCGTCGTCCACAGAACCCCCTTCTTCAATGAACTGCTTCATCACCAGAGGCCGGAGGGTGGTGGACGAAGGTCCAAACGCAGCACCATCCGCCTCGTCCTCGGCCACGTAGGTGAGAGTGGGGGTCTTACTGCCGAAGGGGTGGAAGCGCTGTTTGAGGCCGGGGGGTATGGAGGGAGGCGGAGCGGCAGGGATGACGTGAGGGACCTGGTTGGTGCTGCTGTCTCCGTAGCTCTCGCAGATGTTCAGCAGGCCGGAAAACGCGGGAGCGAAGACGAAGCCGTCCGATGTCTGATTATCGCTGGTGAGCAGGTGAAGATCTGCGGGGCAGCGGGTCGATGCCAGGACGCTGTAGATCTGCTGGCTGGACCCACCGGTGGAGGCGGAAGGAACCTTCAGGGTCTGCAGGCCTGTGAGGGGAACCTTAACGCCGCTGAAGCTGGAAGAGAAGATGAAAGACCAGATTTGTAATAAAGGCCTGAACACACCGGACTTTTTCAATTGTCACAATGACTGCGTATAGAGAGGCTCCGACTAGGCAGGGTGAGCAGATCTGCACAGATTTTTCTCACTTCTGTCTCTTTGCTATACACAAATTAAAACACTTTCCCACATTTGACTTGGACTGGTTATGAAAG